TTAGCGTGCGCAGTGAAATAGCTCACGTTTTTATACACGCAAACCTTTGATAGATCCGGCCCTTAGTGTATCATAACTTTAGAGTAACCGAGTATAAAAAAAATAGGAAGATGGGTATCAGAACTGTTGAACTCAGCTTTAATTAAGCAAGAGCTGTCCTCAGCATCTTATTCTGTTGGCCTTATTGTTGTCAGACAGCATATTTCATGGTAAAATCCATTCAGTCCTCACACTCTAATTATGAAGGGGCACGGTGGGAGTAATGAATGTCACACACAAACACCTACACAAGCACAGCCAAAACATATGCACACAAACTAAAGCATAACTCATGGGCAAGAAAAGAAATGTTGGGCAGGAGATCAGATTAGGGAAGCGTCTCTGATCGGTGGAATGAGAAGGCTAGGCTCATGTATCAACCAGCCATCTAAGCTGGCATATCCTGGCATAGCCAGAGCAACACTGAATGAAACACACACTTAAATACACCCATCTACTGGGCAGAAAGTTTTCTGAGTGATGTAATAGCGCATGAGGAAGGGAGAATCTCTAAACAAGTTGATATCTCTACACAGTTAAGTTTGTGCTCTGAAGACGAAATGAGTTTTAGCCATTGTTAACAATGTCCTAAAACCCCACCAAAAGTCTAATATTTAATTGTAACATCAGAAGTAGAAATGTATTGTTCAGACAGCATGTGAAATGTTATTTTTGTAACTCCTATTCCTGTTCTCCCTTTAACTTCAAGGAAAATTGATGGTGCGGCCAGATGGTTCGTCCCTCCATGTGTGGTTCATGTCAACACTTCCTGACCATTTCATGGGCTACAAGCAGACTCCAAGATCCACGGCTGCAGCTTGATTCAACCCCTCTCTGTTTTCTACCTCTTATTCTTTGCCCCTCATCCCTAACCACACCCTCCTCGCCCTTTCTCTTCTCTGCCTCGGCCTCTGTTTTAGCTCTCACCTCACATTTCAACAGTCAAAGCCCTCCCTAAGCCCAACATGGTGTCCCGCCTTCCCTTCTTAGTTTTTGTCATGATGTGCCAAGGCGCCCTGCTGGCAGACCCACCTCAATCCCGTCGTGAGATCCGCATTGAGGGGGACCTGGTGCTCGGTGGCCTTTTTCCAGTGCATGAGAAAGGCGCTGGAATTGAGGAGTGTGGACGTGTGAATGAGGACAGAGGGATCCAAAGGCTGGAGGCCATGCTATTTGCCATTGACAGAATCAACATGGACAACACCGTGCTACCAGGTGTTTCCCTGGGGGTGCATATTCTTGACACCTGCTCAAGAGATACGTATGCACTAGAACAGGTGGGTAAGCCCTAACATTTTATTGAAATCTGATTTTCTATGAATTTTGGATAATTCGTAGCATTGTTTGAATGGTGTTTTGGCCTTTATGTACTCCCTATATCTGTGGACTTTAGAGGTTTTGGCTTTATCAGAATGAAAAGAATCAAAATAATTAACCTGTATAAATGTGCAAATCTGTAGAACTGTGGTTGTGTTTGTGAATAATAGATGGTGTAACTCTAAAGACCTAGCCATAGAGAGAAACTCTGCATCAAGGACATTGAGCTGTTAGCAGTTAGCGTGAGGCCTTACTACCTGCCCCTGGAATTTACACACGTTATTGTGATAGCTTTGTATGTCCCCCCCTCTGCTAATGCGGCAACAGTCTGTAATGTCCTGCACACTACCACCAGCAGACTCCAAACACAGCACCCACAGGCTCTTTTTCTGATCTCTGGGGACTTCAACCATGTCTCCCTGTCTTCCACCCCTCCCATATTCACACAGTATGTTAACTGCCAGACCAGAGACAATAAAACACTGGAAGAGCTCTGTGCTCCTAATCAACAGGACATCAATAGTATCACAGACCTTACCTTCTTCAGCAACTGACTACTTCACACCTCCCAGCTCCAAACCATCAACCATAACCCCCCACCTGCGCCATCTTGTCGCTTTCAACAAAACAGGTGAGCAATGAGCTGCACAAGATGAAGGTGCGAAAGGCTGCGGGTCCAGATGGCATCAGCTCCAGGCTTCTGAGATGTTGTGCAGGTGAACTATGTGGCATCTTGTGCTACACGTTGAACTTAATCCTTAGGCAAGGAGAAGTACCGCAGCTGTGGAAGACCACTTGTGTGGTACCGATGCCAAAGATAAAACATGAAATGGACCTCAGCAGCTACAGGCTGGTAACGCTGACTTTACCTCTGAAGACCCTCAAACGGTTGGTCTAACATCATCTACGACCCCTGGTGAGGACTTCATTGAATCCACTGCAGTTTGCTTACTGTCATGGGAATGGGGCAGATGATGCCATCATCTTCCTCCTGCACCAAGCTCTGAGATACCTGGAAGCACTGTGCGGATCATGTTCTTGGATTTCTCCAGTGCTTTCAACACTATCCAGTCAGGCCTCCTGAGGGACAAGCTGGAGCTGTCAGGGGTGGACCAGCACATGTCTAAGTGGATTCTGGACTCCCTCACTGGCCGCCGACAGTGTGATTGTGAAGGCACAGGGCTGTGTCTCAGATAGGTTGGTTTGCAGTTCAGGGGTCCCACAGGGAACACCGTTCCCTCCATTCCCTCTTCACCCTTTACACTGCAGAGTTCTCCGTCAATTCCCCATGCTACCACCTCCAGAAGTTCGCTGACGATTCTGCGATAGGATGTCTGCCACAGTTGCCCTATTAAATCAAAATATGACAGGATTTGGTTGTGGTTTGAGGACCCAAATGCAGAGGCAGGGAGGCAGAGGTGAGTTTCTTGTTGATTTAATGAAATGTTAACAGACCACTGAAGAAGGAATCCAAATTCCAGAAATCAAGCATGGAAAAAGTAAAACAAACCAGAAACCATGGGACTTCAGGGAAAAAGCGATCATGACGAGGAAGACACGGTGAGACGTAGTTGGAGGAAGTTTGACGAGGAACCAGCACTGAGGAACTGCACAAGGAGTGTATTTATGGGAGAATGAACAAGGAGAGAACTAACGAGCAGATTAGGAGCAGGTGTGAACAGAGTAGACTGGAAAGGAGCTAGGGAAAAAGGAGAACACAAGAGGGCAACAGAGGTCAACAAATAAAAAGCTGAAAACTGAAAAATAACCAGAAAACACAACAAAATAAGAATTAAAACAATAAAACTATAAAACATGGAGCAAAGTAAAACATTTAAGATGCAAGTTGTACTGGAAAAATAAGCACTTTACTGATTTGTTGTTTCAATTAAAAGTTATGAGTAAACTGCTATGGCACACTAATGCAAACCTTGTTTGATCCAACCCAGGGGCTCTTTTCTGAAACACCCCTGGTGGAATAGGGTACCTTGCAGAAGCCGCACCACCTCCACAATCGGTGGAACCAAGGGGTAAAATTGGTTCACTCCACAAGAGGCCCCAGTGCCTCAGTAGGACAAGCTAATGTGTAGTTTAAACCTCAAGGGAAAATTTGAATCCCCCTCCCATTCTTGCTATAAAGGTTCCAAGACCTTCACCTACTACCTATTGCCTTTATAAAGATAAAGGTGCCTTGTCAAGCATCCACAGGAAGGCAGGCAGGGATGAAAATCATTTCCTCCAACTGAGAGGTCATGGTTCTTGAAAACAGTGGCTTGCCCTCTGTAGCTTGGAGAAATGTTCCTGTCTCAAGCATACTGGGTCCGTTGCATGAATTAAGGGAATAATGGAGTGGCAGATTGATATAAAAGTTTGTGGGGCTGCTGCCTTAAACCCTAAATACATTAAATCCGATTTTGTGTCCAATCCATCAGAAAATTATATTAATTCTTGGCAAATAATCATGTCAGCATTCTACTGAATGCATAAGCATCGCAGCTTGTGCGTGCAGTTGACTCTAACCTCTTCGACTGTTTCATGGTCCTACCTCCAGAACAACCAGCAGTTGCCTTCTCTACCTAGTCATTCTTCTACCTCCAGCAGTTAGCGTCTAGAGGCCAGCTCCAGCATGCCTGAGGCTATCCCTGCTTATTGTTCCTGACAGGCTTCTCATAAGTACTGCTATCCTGCTATCAAAAGGAGAGGCAGTAGCCTCTCCCCCGAGTTCAGCATACTGCTTCTATAGAAATGGTATTCAATCATCCGCCACGCTCTTAAATCTTTTAGAGTTAGCTTAGCTAGACTCGGTGAACTGTAGCCTCTCTCCACACTTGTGCTGCTTTCCTGACTGGCTTCTCTGATCTACCACTGTGCTCCCCCGCTCTCCTCTTGAGTTGCCTTATCCCCTCATTCTGCCGCATTGCCTGTACAGAGCCCTTCTCTGATCTACCCCTGTGGTTACTTAGCTCCAGAGGGTGGCACAACTAGCCCAATTATCTCAGTTAAGGTGCTCTCAGTCCCAGTGTTCTCACACTGATTCCCCGTTTCTTCTGTCTCATCTCTGAATGCTGTTTTGAGGACTCTCACCAAAGCATATATGGACCAAGCAGAGGAGAAAGATACATGTGCATTAAAAAAAACAAACTCATCAACAATGTAAAGACCGGCGTTTAAAATCAGTGATCTTCATCATGAAAGAAATCAGCTGATTTCTGAGTACTGCCAATAAAAATCTACTAAAAATATAACATGCCTATGCCTTTTAAAGTGTTAAAAGTTCTAGACATACATTGATAATTGTTCAGAAGATAATAAACTGATTGCTGGATGTGACTTCCAGGCTCTGGAGTTTGTGAGAGCCTCTCTCACCAAGGTGGATGACACTGAGTTCATCTGTCCTGATGGATCTTACGCTCTGCAAGATGACAGCCCACTTGCCATTGCAGGAGTCATCGGAGGATCTTATAGCAGTGTATCAATACAGGTAAAACTCATATTTTGCACAGAGACATACTTTCAATAAACTGATTAACGTCCATGCCCCTTTGTATGCAACCTCCAGTTTTGGTTTGTTTTTTTTTCTTTCATTTCCTTGTTTTGGCAGAGTATTCTTACTTAAGATGTGTTCTGGTTTCCTTGGGTCAACATTTATGTGATTTCATGTCAGTTAGTATGCACATGCATATTACTGAGAGTCAAGTTCAGTGAGCATGTACATCTGTGATTCCCTAGCTCCTGTTACTTTTGTCACAGAGCTGGTTAATTTACATAGTTTAGCATAAAACCTCTTTTTTTCTTGCTCCTCTGTGACTGCACAAAAGCTTCCTCCTATCAGTTCTTAAATCCCTAATCTGAGCAACTGTCTCTTGGTCGCCTCATCCTTTTCTTTTTCTAACTGTCTTTTCTGTTTTATGCATTGGTCTTTTCATGTACTTCAAATCTTTGGTTTCCTCTGTTTCATTCAGAGCTACAGTACCTTTTATATGCATCTGGATCCCCCCACCCCCATTATGACATCAGACCCCTTCTCCTCCCCTATCCTGGGGCACTCATTGTCAACACTTTGGCTCTGCCTCTTGTCCTTCATCACCCATTATTATCCCTTGTTTACTCTCACTTGATTCTTGTTGCCCCTTTTTTGTTTTTAACCTGTTTAAGGGTGTGACTGTGTTTCACAGGACCTTTCAGGTGCCTAGTTTCTGATCTCTATCCTTTAAAGCTTAGCTACGCCTCTCTACATGGCCAGTGACTTTCTTACTTCTTAATTAAATTATTTAAAAATGTTTTATGTTAAGCCATGCAATTCAATACCTTAAAGGGATTTATGGTGCAGGCCTTTTTTTATTGTCATTTATTTGTGCATCTTAGTTTGTGCTGGCATTGTCGAGGTATTACCCATGCTGTATTTTCTTAGATTTATTTATAAACAGTCACATCATGTGTATTTCAAATTAGTTATAGTTATGCCTTATCACTTCTCTACTGCACTCATTTTTTTCCTTTTTAATTTTTTCTCACATTAAAAAGGCATGATAGTCTTCTAATACTGCCGCCTATGGCCAAAACACAGAACTGCAGCACTCTTCTGCTATTTGCTGTTGGGCACGCTCACACTTGACAATTATTTATTTTTTTTTTTTTTTACTTATTTCGCCTTCTGACTTCCTTACCAGTTTTGTTAATAACATATATAGAGCAACATGAACTCTCAGTGTCTCCTCAGACGAGCCCTTTTGGTAGCTATGGTCAGTAGATAGTGGCACATCATTGGGTAAATTCAGTTATTCTCCTCATGGTCTCGTTTCATGACAGCATAGTCAACATTATAATTGCTTTTAAACCATAAAACCTGTGTTGATAGCTGTAACTAGTGTGACCACAAATGTTTTCAAAGAATTTATGTTTGGATCTCCACTTGTGTGCCTTCTACTAAGCTATGTTATTAGTCTTAATAGGACTTTGACATGTTGTCAAAATAGCTCATCAAATGCACTATGAATGAGACATAAAGAACCCAGAGCCATGCACTCTGGAGGGATTAAACTGAAGAAAGCACAGAATTTCAGTTCAGTTTTTGTTGACTAGTGTGCAGTTTGATGTTATATTTACGAGTCTGTCAGCATGAATATATGCAACATCTGTGTTTACATTGTTTGAATGTGATCATGCTCTAGGATTTATGGAGAGAACATGACTAGATTCCAATCATCATGAAAGGGAAATGTTATGCACACCATAAAACTCTTAATGATGCCTGTGACTGTTTTATAGATGCAACCCTAGTCTTCGACATCTTAGATGCACTTTTAAGATATGTCCCCTCTACAAGATGCCTGAATAAAATGGCTTAGTCCCTCGAAAAGAGGTCTGATAAAGAACTCTTTATTAGATTCGGGTGTGTTGTTAAAAGAGTTCCTTTTATGTATGTTTACATACTTTGCTGCATATAAGGTGTGTTTTATATAGAGAATGAAATAACACCAAATGTAATTTTTTTATTTACAATTCAGAAGTAACTTAGGCAGCAATGTCAAATTATGGAGAAAACAGCGCACAAGCCAAGAAGCCTTGACAAATACAGTATAATATATTCTCAAAAAATTGATTCAATTTATACTTCAATCTTCATTTTCTTCTTTGTAGATGTATGTATCAAGCAGATTTTTTGGGGGCAATTCTTTAAAGGAGCATTGTGCAGGTTTAAATGTTGCTGGGGTTTTTTTTCTCCCCATGCATAGCCTTAAAACTGCACCATATAAAAAAAGAATTTTCCTCTTTTGAACACAGTTGACTATACACTACATCATTCAATTTTAGTAAGGAGTGATTTGGGTCATATTCACTGGGCATGTGTGTGGGTGTTACAACCTTACCCTAGCTTGCATTTTATGCCCGTATATATAAAAACAGGTATAAGCATCAGAAAATGAAAGGTATTTTGTAGAACAACATGTGTTATAATGTTTTTGAAATGTGTATTTCCCTTTAGAAATGCTTCCATCTGTGGCAGGATTTCATGTTGGCAAAAAGGCTCACGAATCAAGTCAGCAAAGCCTGGTGGGCCGTACAAGGAGGCAAAAATAGAATTACCCATTAACAGTGCTTTTCAATTGTTTGCCAGTTCTGATTTATTATTTTGGATCTAATTATCTCTAGCAGAGATCTGAACGAAAATATTATATAACTTTGTTTGTAATGGATCAATATGTTATAGGATAAAAAAGTTGGTGTTTCTTGCGTAATAAGCCTAATTGGAAGCATGTGTTTGTGTTTGGAGGTATTTAGTGTGCTATAGTAAGGCAGGGGTTGCATCTTGATGGGATAATTTAGCACTAAATTACTATATTTTCATACATATAATCATATTTAGGAATGGATGGACAATCTTACAACAAGGTTTAAGTATTTTAGAATAAGCCCAGGCTCCGACTGGTAATCTGTGATACCGGGCATTTGCCCGCCCCTCCTTAAATCATACCGGCCCCAACACTTACTCTCCAGCCGAAGCATCTACCTATGAAAGTAAATAACTCAAGGAGCTCAAGAAGTAATACAATATTAAATTCATAAATGATGCATGCAGTATAAATAGCCCTTCCTTGTCCTGCACATCCATGTGACAGTTGGCATATGGTGTCATTTTCTATTTCTTCAAACTGTAAGTGGGCCCTTGTAGACGGAAAAATGCCAGGGCCAAAAATGGTTCCCAGTCCGAAAAAACCTACAGGTGTTAAGATAATTATTAGCTTAATAAATCCAAAAGTAGGTCCAGCCATAACTATTGTGTTCATTTTTGAAAGGTTCATTACGAAGTTAGCAAATTTTTATCAACGCAGAAAGCATCCTTATCTTGTAGTATGGAAGTAATGTTATACTGTGCTGATACTGCGGTATTGTGACTCACAACTTGCACTTATCTTTTGGAAAGCTATTTTATGGAAAGTTAATCAGAAATATAGCTTTGACTACTTTAATTTTCAGGAAGCATTCCAATTGGATATGATAAATAACAGATCTATAGTATGTATACTCTTTAAGATGACAGGCTAACGTCATATCACTATCAAGACTCAAATTAACACAGTTCAAGCAAAACAAAACTTAATATTGATTCTGTAGCTGTACTTAAAAAGCTGTATCTGAGTTTTCTTTTCTTATTGCTTTGACACCAAAAAAATATCCTGCAAAATCTCTGTTGGTAAAATTGATTTTGCTCCATCCTCAGAGTACACAACATTAGGCACTTTGTGTAATGCACTTAAAGGACTCAGGCTCCGAAGGCTGTCACCAGAGCAGAGACACATTACAAACGAATATCGTTCAGAGCAACAAAAACAAGATATGTTGGTCCACAGCATATCATATCACATAACACGACAGGAGCTGCTACCTTTCACAGTAAAAACATCTCCAAGAAGTGGGAAGATTATGAGCATTCAATTTCTTATCTAAAGTTTCAGGTGGGTAAAGTACCCAATATTGTACTCAATTAAGACTCGCACCACTTTAATTCTTCAAGTAAAGGTAAAGAGTAGTCTGACAAGAGATAATTCAATTAAAAGCAAAGAGTATTTGATAAAAACACTATTCAAGTACTGAGTAATATTTGGATTATAACATCTAATTTGATGGTTAAAAATTATGTTGTTAGACAGATGAATTCTGGTATTTTAAAGACTAAAATAGTAAAGTAACATACAACTTAATTACAAAGTTAAAAAAAAAATCTGAAGAAACACGTTTTAAAATCCACTGATTAAAACCAACACTTGCTTCCACTGATAACAATAATCTACTGTTTACTGCATATTCTTCTAATATCCAAATACCTCATGTTACTTGCAGTGTGTCTTATCGCTACTCCTACTTCTGTGTTAGTACTTAAGCACTAGTTAGTAGCTACCTCTGGTTTGTAATTCTCTCAGTGGATCCACTGTAAGTGAAAATAAGACAGAGCATGTGTGTTGCCTGTTCGCCATCAAATACTAGTTTAATCGTAATCCACAGCTCCAGTTTACCCATATTAAATCCATTCATCATATTCCATAAAACAGAGTTAAAGAAAGACATACAATAAAAATATTACCAATTGTAATTGGAATACCACTTATATAATTGAACTGAAGTTTTCAAATCAATTGAATAAACATAAGTGTGTAAAATACAGCATCAGAGGCACAGTGATAATTTAAAATTGTAAAACCATGTTACAATACATTTACAAAGCATTCTGTGAACTTCAGGATGGAACCCTTGAATATTTTTATTCCACAATCGGCCATCACTGGTATTATCTAAAATGGATTCAGAGTGACAGAAGCTCAGCCACAGAATATCATGCCATATAAAGTCCCAGCCAGGTTCCGTGAATGCTGTAGCTTATTTTGTGCAGAGGTTGCCAAATTTCTGCAGAGTCATTAGCCAAAAAACTCCACACCTGCTGTGGTCTTCTGATTATCTCAACAACAGGGAGTTGAGAGCATTTACAGAACAGGATTCCATGGCTTGGCAGTGATATCCAAGCCTAACATCAGCAAATCCATTCAAAGCAATTGATGCGGTGGTTCCTGACAATGGACCTTAAGAAGTACAGATTTGTTCTCTGGAGAGGTGAATCCTCACCTCTGCCTCACAATCCAGTGGACAAGTCTGGGTTTGGCAGTTGCCAGGACAACAGCACTTCCCTGTCTACAATGTGCCAAGTGTAGAGTTTAATGAATAGGGGATTAGAGCGTGGGTTTGTTTTTAGTAGTTCAGCTCAACACCACAATCTAAGTAAAAAAAAAACAAATCTTGATGCTTCATGAACAATAAAATATTGACAGTTTTGTGCTCTGAACTTTATATGAACAGTCTGGCAAAGGCCCCTTTTTGTGTGTCCCGATTCCTCTTTGCATATAGGTGTAGTAGAAATAACAAGGTGTAGGCGGTATTAATCATAGCTCAAACCCAATACACCCTCTAGCCCAGCGGTCCCCAACCACCAGGCCGGTCCGTTGGTCATTTGGTACCGGGCCGCACAGAAAAAAGTAAATATATATATATATAATTTATCGACGATCAGAATCTGAGTGATGTTTTATTTTGAAAAATATAAAAAAATTGCGGTGTTCTCTCCTAATTACATCAGTCGGAGTATAAGGAGTATGAGGGTGACAATACACTCAAGGCCTGGGAGAGGGACTACGGCTGGTCTGCAGTAGGACAGCAGTAAATCGGAGAAGCCCACCAGGGAGTCAGAGCTAGAAGAGGCCCCGGAGCGGGGGAGAGAAGACATCAGCCTGTCAGTGTCTGCGGTAGGACAAAGAAACAGTCCTTGTAAGCTAAATTAAAATGGCTTTTGTAATAGCCACCTCAAAACCTCTTAAGAGCATTGTCTACTTCATCCTTTGGCAAGAATATTTTCCCTATCTTCTGTTTTGATACTGATACTGAAAAAAAAAAAATGCCGTTGCAGTTCTTTCCACTCTCGCACTGATTTCCTGCTGCATACCTAACCTCTGTACTCAACGCCTAAAGGCTGATTTATACTGAGAAACCAGGTCGACTGCGTGTGTGTCGCATGTGACGCAGAAATGCCCCCCGCACCTTCCTCAGACACTCTGGTGCACCTCTCCAGAATTGTAGGTGACCGCAGACAGTGTCGCAGACATCAGGCATCTGATTGGTCAAATCTGCATCCACTCTACACAATCTATATTTCCTGTTTGGTACCTTACCAGCTTGTTTTGTTTGTATGACCACCATTTTGGAAATCGACTCATGAATATGGACCAGCTAGAAGAGCAAGGTGCGCAACAACGCTGGGTCTGGATCCATGCTCTTTTTCGCCCCTACATTGTCACACACACTTGCCCCTTGCGTTTTTCCACTTCCTTGGCCGTATCTAGACCCCCAGTTAGTTTGTGATTGTCCCATTTGCTTTGTGGCTTGGAATAACATAGCGCAGACCAAGCTTCCAAACTGAGCATAAATCAAAAATATCTGCGTCATACCTGCGACAAGCTCACTGCGACACACTGCTGCGGTAGTATAACCAGCCCTTAAGGCTGTGTTTGGCTTTCAAAAGCAAAAAAAAATAAAAATACAAAACTGTGTGTTGTCTCCTGCCCTTACCCGCCAAGTCAGCATAGAAAATTCCTTGATAAATACCCCCTATCCCTTGTTATGTCCACTACCCCTGCCTACAGTACGTGCAAAGAGGTATTAGAACACCATTACCTTCATGGAAACATGCTAAATTTATGGGGTTAAAGAGCTAGGGTTGCATTCAGACTGGGCCTAAGACAATAAAATCAAAGTTACTGTCCATTCATCTATCCATTTTCTTCCGCTTTATCCGTGGCCAGGTCGTGGAGGCAGCATTCTATGCAGTGATGCCCAGATTTCCCGATCCACACACACCTCCTCCAGCTGCTCTGGGGGCACCCCGAGGCGACACCAGCTCAGACACATAGTCCCTCCAATTTATCCTGGTGCTTCCACAAGGCCTCCTTTTAATTAAAATTAAAATTAATTTTCCTATCCTTGTTTCATGAAAAATTATTCTTTGGGAAAATCTGAACTGCTGTTGTTTGTTGTTTAGTAGAACACAACTGAAAAGATATACTGGCTTGATCATTACATCTCCCAAATATCTTTTATGTTATTAAAAATATACAAATAGTGAGAAATCATGGAAATGGATTTTGTTAAATTCTTGTAATTCACTTTCATTTACTATTTCTTTCCATGCAGGTTGCCAATCTTCTCAGGCTCTTTCAGATCCCTCAGATAAGCTATGCTTCAACGAGTGCCAAGCTCAGTGATAAAACCCGCTATGATTACTTTGCCCGCACTGTACCACCTGACTTTTACCAGGCCAAAGCCATGGCAGAGATTCTCCGGTTCTTTAACTGGACATACGTGTCCACCGTAGCATCAGAGGGTGATTATGGAGAAACTGGTATAGAGGCATTCGAACAAGAAGCACGAATGAGGAACATCTGCATTGCTACTTCAGAGAAGGTAATAAAAAAGGAGAATTTGATTATGATCAGAATCTTTCTTCATCATTGCAGCAAGAAAAAAAAAAGATCATTGAGGTGCTGCATTTACAAGTCTAATATTTTTTTCTTTATGGCTTATTTCATGGTACTGAATTGGGGGTAATATTAAAGTGCTACAAGTGCTGTGGAAAAACATAAAAAGCTTATCTCTATAAATTCATTTTAAGTGCTTTCACAGTCCAATTTCCATGCCATTTTCAGAAGATTTATATGAAGGTGTGAGACAAGTACAGATTGCATGTGACACACGTTAGTGTGGGAAAACCATTTGTGTTCTTCATTCAATAATCCTACATCTTTTTCCCAGGTGGGACGCTCAAATGCTAAAAAGTCTTACGAGGCAGTGATTCGTCAGCTCCTCCAGAAGCCAAATGCTCACGTGGCCGTCCTTTTTCTGAGAAGTGATGATGCCAGAGAGCTGATTTCGGCTGCTGCCCGACTTAATGCCTCCTTCATCTGGGTGGCTAGTGATGGCTGGGGTGCACAAGAGAGCATTGTCAAGGGAAATGAGATTACTGCTGAAGGAGCTATTACACTTGAACTAGAGGCGAATCCCATACCAGAATTCAACCATTACTTCCTAAGTCTGGACCCTATCAAAAACCACCGGAATCCCTGGTTTAAGGACTTCTGGGAACAGAGGTTCCAGTGCTCTTTGGGAGCCAAAAGCTTAGGATTAGGGGGAACACCTCTTCCACCATGTGACAAGAACTTGCTGATGGATAAAAGATATTTCGAACCAGAGTCCAAGATCATGTTTGTGGTGAATGCAGTATATGCCATGGCCCGTGCCCTACACAACATGCAGCGGAGCCTGTGCCTCAACACCACCAAACTGTGTGACAGCATGAAGGCCCTGGATGGGCGCAGACTCTACAGGGATTACATTCTTAATGTCAGCTTCACAGGTAAGTGAGCAAAAGTGTGGTGAAGAGAGTGTTGGGTTCCAGATAAGGTGCTGAGAGGGGATGAAGCGCAAAGAAAAGTAAATGTTGGAGAGGACAGATACAAGATAAGAAGAAATAGACAGGAATGTGAGTGCTGCGTCTGCTTAACAGTCTCCTAATGAACACATGGCTGTTGTCCATCTTCTAAGCCACAGAACATTAAAAGTACTGAAACAAATCCTCTTAATTGCTATGTGTTGTCTGAGCCAGCTTGCCATTGACACCTTTTACCCATGTGTAATTCATACAACACTACAAAGTTGCTTTGAGGGGAGAGCTGCAGTTAATCTGAGCCATATTCTTTTCTCACACACTAATGAGATTGTATGTGTGTTAATATAGCTCCTATAGCATGCTGCCTGCCTTCCTGTCAGTCTCTGAAGAGTTTAGAGAAAGAAGACAGAGGATTGGCTTGACTGACAGATCACGCACAAAGGAAGTGTTATAAATAAACTGGTGCATCTCTGGGACTGACACAGGTTTAGAGGTGCTTATTCCTCCACCAACCGTGACCAGAAGCAGACTTCAAAACACCCAGGCAAACAAAATTAACACAGCAGCTTTGCCATGGGACATTGGGGAGAGTGAGCTGGAGGGATGGAAAGAGGACGAGGGAATGGCATCATCCATGAAGGTGGGGGGAGAGAGAAGGTGCTTGCAGATAAGACTGACAGGCAGTCTAAAATGAGAAGACTGAGTTTAGGGTAAAGTGAAAGGGAATAAGTGAGAAAAAATAGTATAAAGAGTAGCAAGGAGAGAACAAGCAAGAGCTGCAGCAGTTCCTGAGTGGGACAGCATGCGTCAGCAAAGGAAAAGGATTTAATTTGAATTCTCTTGTGTTGAAAATGGGACTAGATAAAATAAAGACTCATTAAACAGATAAAGTTCACAAAATCCTTTTAAAAAAGGGTTCATATTTTCTACTGTAAGAAGTTGTTGGTGATGTTCATTGGAAAACCCCATTCATATTGGGTCAAATTTTAATTTCCCCAATATTTATTTTCATTTCCATATTTATAAAGCACATTAAATGAAAACATGCAAACAGAGAACAAAAATAATTTATTCAGTTTTAAAAAATATGTGCTAAACGGATATTAAAGTCTTTCTGAACAAAGGCTGACACTTAATAGCTCACTTAAATGATGGCACAGAGGTACAGAGAAAGTAAATCTGAGACCATGGGTGCCTCCACCAGAAATGGCCTCGTCTCCACTGCCTTTAAGCTTAGTGCTTGAACAGCCAATAGAAGCTGACTGGATGACAAGGACCTGCCATGCACACAAAAACTGAAACATTCAGAAACATAAAAAGGTTTGAGGCATTTGATACATTGTAAAAATAATAGTAAATGTTTTAAAATCTATTTTAAAATGAAGACACTGATTTCTGGATGACCTGAAGGCAATTTAGGGTCAAGACAATAAAAAAAGCTCAAATTTAGCTAAAAAAAAAAACTCCTTAACATTGTCATTTATCATTATAGTGTCTTTGTCAGGTAGACAACTTCCAGACAAAAGAATATAATGATCCACTCACCTGCTTTGAGGACAACATTTACAATCTTAGCAGGGTAGCAAAATAAAAAAAATATTGCTGCAAAGTTTGAATCAGTCTATCATTTTCTTGTTTGTTTTTTGGCTATTTCTCATCTGAATAGTTGATATGCCAATAAATGTCAGCGAAGACTATATAGATTTTGAGGAAAAATAATTTTTGAAAAAAAAAATCACGTTTTCTAAATTAAATTTATTTCTAGAGGTGCTATTGACATGACATTTTTACCAGACGTCGGAAACAATCCATGCAATCTATACATATAAACAAATCAAGCCATAGATGTCCAGAAATTTAGTTATGTGCCAAAGTGAAATGGCACGGGAAAGAGTATTGAATATACTTACTGAAATTTTAATTAATGGTTTGATTTTGGCCAATTATTCCTTACAAAAAGTTTTCAAATCTTGTAGGCTTTGTGGGCCTCTTATATGAACTCCAATCTTTATTTCTTTCCATTGATTTTCTATTGGATTCAAGTCAGGCGATTGACCGTTCAGTTCTAGCAGCTTTATTTTCTTTCTCTAAAACCAATTGTGAGTTTCCTTGGCTTTTTGGAGTCATTGTCTTGCTGAAATGTCCACCCACGTTTCATCTTCATCATCTTCGTAGATTGCAGCAGATTTTTATCAAGAATGTCTGTGGACATTTTTCCAATCCTCCTTCCTTGAATAATTTGAAGTTTTTCAGTACCATATGCTTACCATATGCTTTTAATATGGTGATGTGCAGTGCCATTTGACCTCCAAACATGATGTGGGTTATCCAAAGAGTTCAATTTTGGTCTCATATGACCAGACTATATTCTCCCAGAATTTCACAGGCTTGTTTAAATGTTGTGCAGCAAAATATGAGCTTCAACATGCTTTTTTTTCAGCAGTGGAGAATTGCTTGGTGAGCGTGCATACAGGCCATTTCGATTCAATTCAATTTCAATTCAGTTTATTCATAAAGCGCCAATTCACAACACATGCCATCTCAAGGTACTTTACAGATAAAATTCAACCAGATCATACAATCAGATTGATTCAAAGTTTTGATCAGTTGATCGCATCCACTCATTGACTCGAAGGCAGTCCCTCACACCAAGCCTGCTTGTAGTGAGTGGAGAGGAAAAACTCCTAAAAAGAAGAAACTTCCAGCAGAACCAGGCTCAGTGTAAGCGGCCATCTGGGGTTCAAGGAGACAGTAATGCGGTTGAGTGAATTACATATATTTTTCTTTGAAAACATTTTACCTGCTAATTCCAGGTCTTTCTGAAGCTCTCCACAAGTGGTCTTTGGCTCTTGGACAACTCTTCTGATTATTCTTTTCACTCCTCTGTCGGAAATCTTGCGAAAGCAGCTGATCAGGGTCTGTTTATTGTGAGATTATGTTCTTCCCACTTCCGGATTATGGCCCCAACAGTGCTTATGGGAACATTCAGAAGGTTAGAAATCCTTCTGTAACAATGTCATCATTATGAATTGCAACAATAAGGGTTGTGAAGGTCTTGAGAAAGCTCTTCGCTTTTACCCAACATGGGATGTTTTGCACCCCCCTTTCTTCAGGTGTACAATACCTTTTTCCTGTGCCATTTTACATTACACATAACTCAACTTCTGGAGATACTGTAACTAAGGCAAAAGTTATTTCCACCTTGACAAGAAATTACAAAACATTTTTTAATGTGTAATACTGTTAAAAGGGAGAAACTTGTAAGGGTCTAGATTATTGTTTTTATGGAACTATAGGTAATAAATGCCTAAATCACTTTAAAAATAAATATGCACACACAGGGCCATCCTCCCTGCTCTTCTGCCATTGTGTGAAAGAATCTTGCAAATACAATCTGGTATGTTTTCTTTCTCCTGAGGACTTCCTCTCATAAACTCATCACTTCTTGCGACTCTCAGCCCTATTTAAAGTATACAGTGGAAGCAATGGAGCTAGAATAATTGAATGAATCTGAAGCACTCTGGATACATAAACATTAGAAGTGCACAAGCACATAGGAGGAAACAAGTATACCACAATGTCTGGCATGTCGGATAACCAATAGGTAAGATGAAGACTTAAATTCAACTCTAAATTTGCAGCAAATGCATAGGGCAAGGATACTATATATAAATAAAAGATGCTTAATTTAGTGGGTTGAAAGATATCAAGAACAGGAAGCATGACTTTTGTTACTTTTCCACCACTTTTCTTTGACACATTCCCATTGTACAGTCTCTTTTGTTAGCTCTCTGTCCTAACATGAGATGCATAATTTCATTCAGAGAATCTGTAACAAAAAGAGCTTGATTATGATTCATGTAAAGTGAGCATGGTAGGACAGCATTTATTTTCAACTGTTGGTCGCCCCTGAATGACTCATTCTCACTGCTCTGTATAGCTGAAACAGCCAGTGAAAAAGAAGGTGAGGTCTGTTGAAGTTTAGCTGCAGCATCAACATCCGCAGTGCTCTCAGTCAGAACTGAAGAATCAGAACTCTTCAGCGCTTTATACATCTGATGCAGATATGCATGGTGATTGCACAGTTTTAAATAATACTTTAAAGTTTGTCTCCATATATGCTGAAAGATGCTTTTATTGCATGTATCTTTACAGCACAACTGAAGATGTATTTCACTGTAATGAGGTTGTTTTGTTGTGTTTCACTGACAGTGTATGTGACTCTGATGCAGCATGTTGTTTGGTTAGGAGAGTGTTTTCATTCACAGCTCTCTTCATCTAGTCTCATCGAGCTAGTTGCTATGGTAATAAAGCCGACTATTGCCAATTGTTGAGGTGATCTGGTAGATCACGGGAACCACTCCATAAGAACTAGCAGCAGACAGTGGAGCAGATTTGTGAGCTTTGTGCATTTTTTATAAGCACTTGTTACATGAGTCAAACACAGCACATAAACATGCGCTCCAAAGACACAGACTGGAATCTGCGAAACAGTCAGCTATTTTTTTTTAAGGGAGGCAACTTGAAATGCTTGCTTTTTTTCTGCCAGTATGAAATTGCAGACACCCCCAACCCACACACTTCTCAGAGCCATCATTCAACTCCCACCCACCTCCGTGATCTGCAGCAAACAGATCAGTATATACACACATGCATGCGGTCTGTTCAAATACTGGTGATAGATGTGATATTCCCCTTTCTCTGCACAGTGTGTGTGCACGCATGTGTGCGTAAATGTGTGTTGGGGGGGTACCTCTGTGTTAGCAGAGGCGGTGTGCCTTTAGGGCCATATTGAGCACAGCTTTCTGCTACGTTCAGATGCAAGTGAACAACCTTCACTCATTCTCCGCCTTGTTTTCACTTCACACTCCGTCTCTTAACCTCCATCTTTTTGTCACTCTCTCTGGCTCCATCCTTCCTTTTCCTTCCTCTTTCGCTCTATCTTCTTTCCCATGTCTCACCCAGAA